GAAAAAAGAACAGTAAAAGAACAAGAATAATAATTTTTGTAAAGTAATCAATCTGAACTGCAAATAATAGGCTATTTTTATTTTAAAATATGCACCCATTCAATTTCAGTTGTATTGCTGAAAATGCAAAAAATTGTCGTCATAATCAATTATAAATAACATGAATCATGTAAATGGCAGACCTACTTTCCATTCAAAACCGTGGAATTTGACAAAAAAAGTCGAATAGTTTGCATCACTGGATATTGTTGGTCGTTTATGTCGGGGAACGCTACGTTTCTTATACAGTCGAGCCGACTGTTGCAACGAACGCAACTTTCACCGTACAAGCTCTTTACTTTCAGTTTTCATTGTTACATTCAGCATTAACAGCAATCCAAAAGGGGTAAGCTTTCAACTGAACTGCTTAACCTATGCTCTTGCCCCGTACATGCACGTTATTATATGAGCGGGTTTTTTAAAACATTAAAACCGCTCAGGTAATTTCAGTGGTAGGCTATGATACATATCCATGTAGCCTATTAAACTCCCCGTAATAGCGTGCAAATATTTCTGCCCGTTTTCGCTCGTTGTCAGCCTCTGCTTTTCTGCAACAGACTGAAGCTCCGCGTGAATTCAGTGCGCCTTGATGAATGTAACCCAAACTCACCGCATATGCAGAGGAAGAGTTTAGCCCCTTTCACACACAGTCTTTTCTGGTAAATTACCGTTAAGAGATCATGTGTGAACAGGACATTTTCAAAAATCCCGGTAAATTCGTTCTGGCAATCATATCGTTCTTATAGAGATGGCATGATTACTCTGAGCTGTTTACAAAGCTCCACTGCTTTTTAATTAATTTTTCTATGTTAATATGCGCTAGATGGACATCTTTGAACATTGCGCCTTGCAGCTTTTTCAACATGTCGCACATCTCTATTCATCAGGGCTGCGACTGCAATTGGATACTATTGTGCGCATCTCGTGTTTATAAGAGCAAAAAATTCTGATTGGCTAGTAATGCTAGTTTGGTTGAGAGTGAAAGCTGTGCTCCTCTCATACTCATGGACTCAAAAGTGATATCAACAAGTTTTTTTAAAATGTAGGATTCTTTTTTTCCACAGCCAAACGCTGCACGCCGGAGATCCGGCACGGTGCCTGGGAACTTTAAGCCCTGAGTATCATTATTTCTGTGTTACAAACATTCAAATCACAGAAGTACTGGGACAAAAGTTTATAGTTCAGATATAAACTCTGATGTGTTCTGTAGCGATTAAAATAGAGTAAATAT